TGCTAACAGAAAAGCCAGTAAGAAGTTTAAAATGACCAGCCACTCGACAGAAGAGAGATGATACTGTCTGCGCCCATAAAGCTGCAGTCTTGGAAACCTTACAGAGGGCCACTTTAGTATGAATTCACTCAATGACAGTAGGTATGTGTTTTTTGTTTATTAGGGTCTCCCATTACAGAGTAACTTTAATTATGCATGAACGTTACGATCCTGAGGCTACTGTACAGTACAAATAAAAACCAGTTATGGTTAGTATTGAGGAACATGCTTTGTATATGTTTTACCCAAAAGAATAAACTTATCTATCATCTTTAGAATCTCAATGTTCCTGCTTGGATAAAAATAATCTTGGTTTCTGATGGGAAGGAAATGTTCCGAAGGACCATAGAAATACCACTAAATTAATTTATTTCAACATAAATAACATTAAAGTACTTAAAATTAACTTATGTTTTCATTTAGTACAAACTACACTAATGCTTCCATACCAAGGACTACCCTAGTTAGGAATCACTGCTTTAGATTTACCTACTTCACAATAAGTGCAATGCAGGTCAGTAAAGTATAAGGTAGCTCACTTTAAAATCTAAAGCTTTTTTTTTACTCAAACAAAACTAATTTTTGGAGACGAAAGTTTTTATACTTAACAATTTTTGTTTACTTCATAATCTAATACCTGGAGTTGTATTTTTCAAAGCACAGAAAATTTTTTACTAATTTTGATTTAGTAAATGACAGAAAATCGCAAGTTTGCACATATCTGTGCACGTAAATTCTTTTAAGATGAATTCTACAAATATTATGATTTGGAGTCTGCTCAATTTAGTCTTTAGAGAAACTATCTGTCATTGGAAATGAGAGCGGCTACCTCATCCAAATTCTTTAGCCCCTCCCCATTCCTTTCGTCCCATATTTTTTCATTAAGAAACTTTACCACATAGCTCTTCTTACATTAAACTTTAAAGGTATGGGTTTAGAAAGAACTGTTTTGTAAACCAAGTGAGAAAATTATAAATTATAAATAACTAGTTGTGGTTTCTCTCAATCAACCAATCTCATTCTCCATTTGACCAGAACGGAATTAAAAAGAAGTGTAGAGAAAAGATTGTTCTGAGTAGGGTGAGTCGGAGAAGAGCAGGCTGAAGAAACACAAGCAGGAAGACTTGACAGAACTTCATGCAGAACTAAGTAGGCTAGAATTGGAAGCAATGGGTTTTAAAGAGTATATAGACGGTTTCTTGGAATTATACAAAGAAGGTCAGAAGAGGCTTTGGGCAGCATCTTGAAGACACGAATGAACAGGAAAAAGGGGCAAAAAGGAAAGCCTGCTAAGGGAACTGAGAGGATGTCAGAATTCCAAACGGATCACATATGGGTATTAACTTTGGTCAAATGAATACATATTGCAAACACTAAAGGGGATTTAAGTACTTATCCCCATGATTTCACTTAATATGCATATACATATGTACTCAAAATCTAGAAGGAATATGCAAATATTGAAGTTGTAACTGAATTCCAAACTTGGACTAGATATAATTGTCCTTATTCCACTTTCCAAAATTTCAATTTTGAAAAGACAAACATTACTACTAAAGAAGTTAGGCTTCAAATGTATAATCTAAGGCTTTAAGATAGGATATAGGATTCCCATATTCCAATGACCTATTAGGGTCATTTATGCATTTTCCACTTTAAGACAATAAATTAAGTTTTACATTGATTATTTCAATTTAATTGAAGAGTAAAACGAATTTTTATGCGGTACTATTATTCTAGATTAACTTTTAGACCTAATGCGCCTCTCAGAAGCTTCATTATAAACGCTGAAAACCAAGGAAAAGGCTGTAAGGTTTGGAGCCTATCTGAGAGTAAAACTAAACTGAAAGAGATGCACAAAAGTACTTACTGGGAAAAAAAAA